GGGGGGGGGGGGGGGGGGGGGGGGGAGATCATTTTTGGATTACACAGCTGCAAGATTTCCCCTCTCTGATTCCTCCCCTTCCTTCGAAGTGTGGCTCGTAAACTCAAGTTCGGCATCCGCGCGCACGTAGGCTTTACATACAATCACGTGAAAGTTTCAGCGCCTAAATTAGTAACTCGGATTGCATCCAGGGTAGGAAGCTGGAATTTTAGGAGAATGTTCCTTGCCTGCAAAAGGCCCTGTAAAGTTAAATTTGGCCTTTATTTGCCCCTAGGTTTCACTTACGGACACGTTAAGTTTTTGGCGCTAAAATTAGCACGAGGACTAGGAAAGCTAGGAGGCCGAAAATTTAAGAAAGTGTCCGTTGCCTGCGTATGACCCCGCACACTCAAAACCAGCTCTCCGCATGTTTAGATCTTACACAGGGACGCGTGAAATCTTTGGCCAAAATCGATAACTCGGAGACCGTGAAAGCTAAGAAGCTGAAATTTCGGAATTGTGCTACGTATAAATTCAGTCCCTGCGCACGCCTAAACCTCAGGTACGGGCGCGTGAAAGTTATGACGCCAAAATTCATAACTCTGGAACCACAGAAGCTGGGAGGTTAAAATCCTAGGATACTGCTCCTTGTTCGCGTATAAATTCATCTCAACGCACGTCTTAGTACCATGAACAGAGAGTTGAGAGTTTTGGCTTCAAAGTTAGGTCAGAGGCCACAAACGGCAAAGTTCTGGTACTAAAACTAGCATGTAACGTGTGAAACAGTAATGCAGCGGATTCTTTTAACAGCAAGGTTCCCCTGATCCGAGTTGCACAAGCATCAGCAGGACAAGTTGCAGAAGTGTTCGTTGGACAGTCCTTCATCCACTACTGGGCAAACATCGCACCAGAATGTCCTGTTTTGGTCTGCCTAGCTTCGCTTTTTATATCAGTTAACTGTATGCTCTAGGTTCAGAAAGTTCGCTACAATTCTTAAAGTGTTTCAGGATGAAGGTATGGTTGTGTGCAGTGAAAAAGGCGATGAATTGGTGGAACGAATTTTAGGAGCTTCTGAGGAGCAGCAGACTCGAAGTTTGGTTTCCGAGCCAGAAAAATCAGGTCGTAGTGGTAGTAGTGAACGTTTGCTTGCTCATCTTCTGGTTGGTAATGCGCTGGATTCAAACGCTATTCGAGCACGATCCGGTTCACACAGTGATGAAGTTGGCGAAAGTAATATATGAAAATGCTCAGTTTTGTACATATGTTCGTATTAAATGCTCGAGAAAGCTATAAAAATTATTGGACTTTGTCTACAGTCGAAAGTCAGGCAACTGACTAAAAGGGTGTCTTCATAATGGAAAGGGAAATAGCCAGTGTCCATGGCAACCAATATTTTTTGATTTAACGGTTTTTTATCATGGTACCTGGCTTTTTACGTACCTTCGCGTAAACATAAAAAAACAGTGAATTGCAATTGCGTATACACAAGCCTCCGTGTTTTTGTTTCTTTTGCTTTGACACTGCGATTAAAAGAATTTTAGCCTCAGCGATGTTTTGGGCAGCGATTCGAATTCAGTTTTCAGTCCATATAGTTTTCTGGCCTGTGACTTTAGGCCCAAACACTACTGCTTTCTTGTGCATTTTGTGCTTTGTAACACCTGCTCAAAACGCGTATTGTCAAGCTCCTGTCTGTGTATGCGTTTGTCTGTTTGTTTGTGTGTGTGTTCGAGTGCATTTTATCCCCGCCTTTACAACAGGAACTACAGAAGCTAAGAAGCTGAAATTTTAGGAAAATGTTTGCAGGCACATATGACCAAACAAGTTTAAATTCAGCTCCGGGTGCGCCTAGGCCTCACGTACGGTCATGTGGAAGTTTTAGCACCTAAATTACCAACTCAGTAACCACGAAAGCTAGAAAGCTGAAATTTTAAGGTAGTATTCCTAAAAATTTAAAGTTAGTCTGCATTTGACACAGACATGCAGGAGTTTTGGCTCGAAATTTTTTGCTTCGAGAAATGGCAGAACGGAAAGCTGGAAATTTAAAATAATGCCTCATCTAAATGCGAAATCCTGGAACTTCAAGTTCAGCTTTCATGTGCACGTGAAATTTTATTTTGGGAGCCGGGCAAAGCGGAAAGCTAAAATCACTGGAGGATGTTTCTGTTCATGTGTGGACCTACAAGTTCAAATCTAAGTTCCATCAGCGCCTACGTCTCATTCATAGGCATGTGGGTATCGTACTTTTTACGCATACCAAACTGTAAAGCAGTGAATATCCCTAGCAGTAACTACCCACCAGGCAAAACCGCGTAAAATGCATGGTCGCACTGGCCACTGATCCGTTCCGCTATTTACTAATCCAAGAGAAAAGGCACGGGAAAGCTTGAAATTTTACCTCGTTTGGGACATATTGGAATTGTGCTGGACCCTGGCCACTGTCTTCAGATCCAGAATCGGTGTTTGCCATAGTTTTAGGATAAAGCAAGCTATTGAATGTAAATTTTGAAAGTCCCGGTTTACAGCATGGTCCAGGCTCAGAAGTTAAAAAGAAATTTTCAAATTCTCTGTTTGCTCGAGCGTAAGGATCAAATCTGGATGGATGTAGGCTTTGACAGAGCATCGCGTTTAGCTACGCCGATTCTGTCACTTCTGTCTTCTGTAATGACCTTTAATCGAGATCTGTTTTTGTGGCCCCAAGGCAAATGAACGAATGGATCATGGTAATGTTGTCGCAATCACCTCGATTAATCTGCTGACGCACTGTGCGACCATAGCAATTGATTGTAAGAATTCGGCCGCGTTATCCTCGGCGTACATCGCTTGATGGCAAATGGTGCCAGAAACTTGCGAAACTGTAAAAATCTAAAGCGAAGCAGAGCTTCAACACAGTTTGTAGCATTTCGACTAATTTCTCCACTTAAAAGGTAATTATAGCAATTACAGTTTCTATCCAAATTTTACTGCTGCTGAAATGGAGAGTACGTAGCCACAGTGTAGCACAATTAAATTTATGCAGGTGACCAGTCAGATGTGGTTCTTCAAGCAAGCGGAACTCGTCTTTTAGCGCGGGACTTTTCTCTTTAATAGAGTATAGCACTCTTCATTCTAATTCATTGCTTCACTGTCCGAGTTTGCTCTTTTTGTTGGATTTTGACTGTGATAGATCACAGCTTATTAACATAGTCTCGCTTTTTAGACTGACGGCCTGGAGCTAAACATAATTTTTGAGAAGTGAAACTGCCGACAAATTGACCTTCTAGACTCATCTCACACTGGAGATGAACGTAGGAAACGTAAAAAAGATGAGAGGGGTAAGCATACGACAAAAACTTTTAGTGGTGACTAGCTGCAGATGAATTATTCAATGCAGCAACATTTTGCGTAAGTTGCGTGCTATACACCGCTCTTCGTTACATAACATTCACTTCATTCAAACGGATCAAACTCCAATTTTGTCCCTCTTCCTCTCTCGCTTCATCTGTTTCCCTGTACATATGCCTAATGCGGCCTAGCAGTTTACACCGCTCTCAGGTCCCTTTGATCATTCTGTCTTTTTCTACAAACTCGTCCCGCTTGCGCTGTTGTGTTTCGTACCACGTTAGTCATTTCGCACTATGTGGGTGTTTTCCGTCCTACTGAAGACTATGTGACCAACCAGTTCGCCATTTCACCGTAATATTCTAGACAACAAGAGGGAGTGCAGCGGCTTCCCCTTCCTGAATATTCTGGCATGTATGCGCACCCCGGGTATTTTCATCATGTTGCGCATGTGATTCATTTCTATGTGCATTTAGAATGGTCTGCACAAGATGCTCGTTTCTAGCAACAAAATCAGTCCTAATTTGATGCTTAATTTCCCGGGACAAACGATTGGTCTAAGCGTTATCGTTATCGCGGGTGCTGACGGGCGCTTAAATCGAGGCACGTGGGGCGCGGCGCTGAATGTCCTGTCTTCACTGGCTCTGCGGTCTTCGCTGGTTCTGATGTTAATTATTTGTTGGAAGGCATTTTATTCATGTGCTTCACTTTTCCCCTCATACCACTGCCAAAATTTCCATTTGCGCCTCCTTTAAGGAGATTTTCCCAGCCCATGTGCCGCTTAAAGATT